ATTGCAAGCTCACAATGTGACATTCTATATTAACATTCATTAATGTTATCATGAACACGGTGGCTCAGAATGCAGAAGGCTTATCATTTACGGCATTAGCGGTAATGGCATGTGACATTGGAGCAATGAATGAATGAAGAGGTGACTGACACGCAACTGCCTTTGTTTCAACTTCGAATGCACCATCCTGCAATTGTTTCCTCTTGACAAACGGACACCTTATCCTCTAATTTATTTCTTTTTTCCCTTTATACAAACACATTATTTATATTATGGTTTTATTAATTGAATGCAAATAAGCCTTAACTCCAAAATCATGAACATTTCTCAGCAGTCCAGGTCAACGTCGTTTCTCCAGGCCAACCGCTCCTAGAACGAGGTCCACTAACACCGACTGAGGGGGCCTGTGCGACCTTCGACAGTGTTGGCATTCATTGTCTATAGTCGTTGCAGTTCACCTTGCTTTGAGCCACCGCTGCTCAGCGAGCTGGGACTGGTTTGGAAAAAAAAAACAGCATCGCAACTGTTGCGCTAAGCTTCCCTTGCATGTCACAACACGCCCGTCACTTCCAACTTGGAGTCCGAAGCTTTTGAGGTCGCTTCATTCCACTATTTCTTCCGGCCTGCTCAGTCGTGCCGCCGATGATCCTCAGGAGAGCCTATGGCCAGAAAGAGTGAAGACTCCATCCCAAGGCTGTCCAGCTGGGCAGGGACCACTTCGGGGCCGCACAGTTACATCTGTTTGCCTCTCAGGATTCATTCCTCTGCCAGTTTTGTTATTTCTGTCTGAGCGGACAACCCTTGGACAGACACTGGCTTTCAGTTGGCCCCAGGGCCCCGCAGAAATGATCCTTCTAAAAAAGTGGCTATGCGATTCATTGTCGCTTGGAGCCCACTCAAGATCAGTGATTTTCATCACACTCAGGTGTTGTGGAGAGATGCTCCTGAAGATGTCACTTGAACCTACTGTACTAGGTTAGGAGTGGAGCAGGTCTTGATATTTGTCCCTTATTGACCCAACCAGATTTAGTTCCCTTCGACAGCCCTTCCGGACTTTCCCCCGAATACATTCTCAGGGACAGGGCACTATGGCCCTGAAGGAGGGAACAGAGGATGTAGTCCCCTCGCCACTACTGGACCATCCCTCCATTTCTCCCTG